GGAGAACCTGCAGGAAGTCAAGTGTGGAGTCAGCACAAGAGTCTGTTAGTCAGCTGTCAGGGCTGCAGTCCAGAAATGCGTAAAGGTCACAAGTAAAGCACATAGAGACGCTTCTCAAGTGATGTGCCTTTTTGAGGATTCACAGTCAATTTCAGCAATTATTATACAGAGAAATGTGCTCAGTGATGAGGCTTTCGGTACAGACGTGTACTTTGACATTTTCTCAGCATCTATATTTTTCCACGAGGAATGACAAGCCGCTTCCATCAGACAGGATCCATCTTACTGATTTGTCACACAGGCTCTCATGCTTGCTGCAGAAATTTGAATTATTTCACATTTCTAGAGCTGAAAAGACTAGAAAGGCGCTATACAAGTACAGGTTCATTTGCCATTTACCATTTACTAAGAATAACATGACATTTGTCTAAAATGGCATTGCAGAAGGATGAATTTTTGATTCATAAAATTTTGTTTAAAACAACAAAAACATTTAATTTAATGATTTAATAGGGACATATTAACTACTGTTGTTGAATAATGATGATAAACCAATTAATATCATATCAATAATTCAGACTTTAAATTTCCAGTTTTTTTTTTACCAGTTACCATTTACCAGTATGGGCATGGAATAGGTGTTGAATTGCATCCATAATGGTCCTAAAAAGTCTTAAATTTGACCTGTTGAAACCTGCAGAAACAGTATACCCCTAATCTCCAGACCTTCAGTACTAAATATTTACTCTCCAGGAGGCAATCTGCCATTTCACATAAGTGAATTTTATAGTTTAATTAATTATTATTAATTATAGCTTTTTGAAAGGAAGCACTTTACAAGGAGTGAGTGGAGATTCTGCTCACTGTCTCTGTGACAGTTGGACATTGTCTCTCTGACTTACATTTAATCAGGGTCATGATGCTGCATGTGGATATTTTTTGCTTTTGTTTGGATGTGTGTGTTTATCCGGGAGAATGAGGACTGTTGATCTCCCAGCCTTGTCCTCAGCAGAGCCCACGCCCCACTGAGCATCGCCTTGGGCCTCCTGATTTGCATTAAGTGCAGTTGTTTTAACAAAGCCCCATTTGTACGAGGACCCACGCACATGCTCACGGACAGTGCTCGCAGTCACTCATGATTTACTTAAACTGTTTTGAAGTCATTGTCCCCAGATTATGAGTCCATTGTCTGGGTTTGAGGGGTGATCAGGCTTGACTTAAGCATTGTACTTTTCCTAGGAAATTACCTTGAGTGTGAGTGGGATGAGAGAGCCGTGGATGATTTTACTTTGGGGAAAAATAAAAAATCTCCTGCTGCCTCTCACTTTTCCCTCACGTATAAATGAGCATGCAGCATATTTAACAGCCAGCAACACAGGATGGTGAAGATCCAACCTGAAACAGACACATTAACAAATGAAATAAGTCGTGTGTGTTATTGCTGAAGAGCTCACATGCAATTGGATTTAACTTTGCTGGAGCATTCTTGGAGGCATTATCTGCTGAGAGCAGTCAGACCTTGTTACGTAAAACACACAAAGCCAATAAAAGGCTTTAATGTTCAATGCTCTGATTTCTTATGTTTCGTTCTGTTTATAGTTATTTCACACACCATAGATTTAGTATTGTGACCTTAACATATAATTAGCAAGACATTTTACAGTGTAAAAATCAACTTCTCACTGCTCTCTGGTGGACAAATTAAGTGAAGGTGACACTTTTTATAAATTACCTGAAACATAATTTGGCATTTTAGTACTGCAATTCAGCTGGGATATACATTGATATCGACATAATATCACCCATCGTATTTTTAGTACCCTTCAGTATTTTTTAGTGCCCTTCAGCTGCCATCACTATAGGAGCAAGACTGTGTTTGTAGCCATTTCCACAAATTGCTTATTTACATAGATACTGAGGATTAAAGATTACATATGCTTCTTGGAGAGACTGAATATTGACCTTTTTAACTTTGGGACTGTATACTGCAAAAACAGCACTTCTAGAAAAGAGGCAAATATTGTTAAATAATTATCAAATTTTCTTGTATTGAGCAAAAAAAATCTGTTTTGCTTGGCTAGAATTCTTAAAACTAGAATACCAATCTAGCCACTCAAAGACTGTAATGAGTCTCAAAACAAAAAGTGCAAGTGGTATTACTCTTAAAATAATGAAAATAATCTGTTCCTCTGCTGGGATATCATGCAGACCATTGTTGTAATCTGTAAAAGGTTCAATCTAGCTCAATATTAGTGTAATATCTTATTTAGACAAATTGTTCTTAAAACAAGATTACTTTTCTAATGCAAAACTTTCTTGACAAGATTATTTTTCTTTTTAGACAAAAAAATAAGACTCATTGCACAGAAACAAGGCTTTTTTTCTTTCCTGAGATTACGTTTTTTCGCAGTATAGTGTGGCTTTTTTAAAATCTCAGATTTGTTCGAGATGCACACTATGGTTAATTAAAACTGTACACAGTGAGGTGTGTTGGTTATCCAATATATATAACTTTGCAACATTGTTTTTGAAAAAATTGTTTGATCACCACATAATGAATTTGTTGTATCGGGATGGCAGCAGAAATCTCAGAACTAGGTCAAATTAAACAAAAACTATGTGTATAGCTAGATTAACACTAGTGGTAGGTAGGTGAGGTTGTGTTATCTTGTGATTTTGGTTGACCAATCCTTTAGATACAGACTGAATGACTTCTTAGGAAATGCACGTGGGGAACAGGTTTTATGCACTGCCCAACATGCCAAACATTTTAGTGGAGAAACGGAACTGTAAGTGACTCCGGCTGCTTCATACCTGGAGCAGAGCTATAGGAAGCAGATGGATGGATGGGAGAACCTGCAGGAAGTCAAGTGTGGAATCACCACAACAGTCTGGACGTCAGCTGTCAGGGCTGCAGTCCAGAAAGCAAACACACACGGCTCCCTTCACACCTTGGCATTCTGTTGCATTAAATGAAAAGCTATCTGTGTTTTGCACACTATTGATTCTGTCTTCTGTTCTGCCTCTTTCAGCTCAGGGATATGTGTGTGCAAGACGGGAGTGTACGGACCCAAGTGTGACGAATGCCACCCGGGGTTCTTCCACTTCAGCAGCACTGGTTGCCGGCCCTGCCAGTGTCACAACCACACCAACTACTGCCATCCACAGTCGGGTGAGTCTGCTGAGGACATAGAAAATATTGGCATGATGCACTGTGTCACTTTTCTAATTTAACTGACTGGCTGCTCTTTTTTTCTCAATAACACTCAATCAGAGTCAGCGTTGGTCACCTTTGATGGAATGATTTTTCCACAATGTGTAGGATCTATAAAAGTTTGCATTTAAAGATTTAGATTTAATTACATTAAATTAAAAAAAGAACATAATGCCGCAGCTTTACCTTATCTATATCTGTGTACTCATTGTAAGCTCATGGGGACACCAGTTTTATTGTTGAGTAAAGTCGAAACAAGCAAAGAGAGTAGGAAAAGCAGCTGTGATGTATGGGTGTGTGAATGAAAGGTGTGAAAGTCTCTGTAGGAGCACTTGTTGTACAGTGTAGAGGTTCCAGGCCCATCTAACAATATCAGGGAATGAAATGGTCAATGCAGTAACAGCATCTTGCACTGCCTAGATTGACAGTTTTTAATGTTTTAATAAAGTTGTTAATATCTGCTATTCTAATTAGACTCTTTTGTTCTGTTCTGTTCAAACTAAATCTCTATCACTCAAACACTCTCCATAGCCTGCATTTCCCCTCTAAAGCCCTAACATTGGCATCACTGATCTAGGAGCAGCTCTGTTTGCTCCTTTCATCATGCAGTTATTTTACAAATGGACTCTGGCTGAAGGCTGAAGCTTAACGGTCCAATCTGTACCAGTGAAATGCTTATAGGTTCCTCGTAAATTGAACTTGAAGCTTTGTGCAGGTTAACACCTCGGCACTGTATGCTGACAGTAATCTGCTGTGTTTGAGTAGAGACTTTGGCTGTACACAAACCCTCCTGTTACGTAAGTCAATATTTACTGTTGAACCACAACAGATTTCAGTTCATAAGATGGAACTCAAGGAGACCAGGAAGTGTGGTGAATCAGAAGCAAATGGATTGTAATATGATTGAAATGTATCACAAATACAGTGTGTGATTTAAGGTGTATTTATCCTCCTCTGTGTCCTTGCTCACATGCAAAGCAGGATTGCTGCTCTCCTCCCGGCAGTCAGGCTTTGAGACTGTCTAGAGACAGGCAGGAGGAAATGTGGAGGGGGTCAGGGTGGTAGTGGGAGGGGTCTAGTTTTAGAAGCCATATGTCTTTCCATTATAATGCAGGGGCAGATGGAGTGCTGTAGCCTTGCCTGGGCTCAGTGTTCACAGTGCCATGGATTAACATAGCTTAGGTTTGACAGCTCCCTTTAAAGACTGACCCTGGCCTCTCCCCAGGGCCGCTTACACAAGAACACATTGTGCAAAAGCAAATTATACAGTATCCCAAACACTGTGGACCTCAGATAAAGAGAAGATACAGAAACTTGTCATGTCCAACAGAGCAGAGGTAGACTGTCCCTACACTGACTTTTCAGACTTGATAAGAATGCAGAGAAATTGCCAAATTTTAAATAAGGATGAGTAGTTTTATGATTTGATATTCACCTCTGAAACCTTGATGCTCTATACATTTTGGTGTTGGAAATGCATTAAAGCTGCAGTAGGTAATTTGTTTTTTTTTTAAATAACTTTTTGTCATATTTGGGTTGAAAGCTTGAAGATAGTTGATTGTCTCTGGCAATGAGAGTTAACAATTCAATTCAATTCAATTTTATTTGTATAGCGCCAATTCATAACAGAAGTTATCTCAGGACACTTTTCAAATAGAGCAGGTCTAGACCAAACTCCTTTCAATCAATCAACTGTCTGTCTGTCTAGGCTCTGATTGGTTGTTTTCATTCAGGCCCAGTGAATTCTTGCAAATGCCATTTGGAGCACTGGTTAGAGCCAGAGGAACCAGATTTTTTTAAGTGACCTACTGCAGCTTTAAATCAAGTTGTTTCAATGTAGCACAATACCTATAAAACTCATTTAGCCTCATTCTACTCAGGAAACCATCATTTATCAACAAAACCTGCATGAAAGCTGTTGTTTCTCCTCACTAGTCCATAACTTCTCTTTAACCCACAACTGAACCTTTAATGTGCAGCTTTCAGCAGCTGATTTGACTTATTATCAGCTCCACTGTTGACATTCAGTTAATGTATGGGTTAAAGGGGAGCCTGCAATCTCTTTCAAGGCTCATGATTGAAACTGCTGTTGCATAATGTTGTCCGTGGACAGGTTCCGTCATGTCTACATAACCTCTATGTATGATTATGGAGGCACAACAGCTCAACCACAAACAGCAGAGCAGTGATACCATCACAAATATTTACAATAATAACAATTTATGACTTATTATTATGAGTTATTGACATTCGGACAATATAACTTTTTTTATGCAAGTGATGTAAGTAATGAAATGTACAAAAGTCAGTATTGCAAGGTAGTTTAAAAATGTGGCAGTGAATATGCTAACTTCATGTAATATATGAAGCCAGAACTAACTCTGGATATCTGAGTTTCAAAAACTGTTTACAGCGAGTGATTCGCTGACCCTTTTTTCCCCCGGGTTCACTTCTCGGGTATCATACAGGCTGTCCTATCCTGTTGATGGAGCCTGCAGGCAAGACTTTGGGCTAATATAATACATCTACATCTTCTGCATGTTTAAAATAATAATTGTGTGATATGATCAAAATCTCGAATCCAGATATAGGTAATTCAATATCCAAGGATGCACAATTTCTTTAAATTCAGTGAAAAATTGTTTATATATAATGACCACATGGCAAATTGTTGTGCACATTTTCAATTAAGCATATAACAAAATATAAAATAATAATATATAAGTATTAAATAAACAATAAAGAATAAGATATGATACAGATGCAACACAAGACAAATAAATTCTGCTTAATTTGAACTAACTAATGGGCTGTGGCCAAAGTCACGTTAGTGGTGAAAACTGTTACTGTAAACTGTAAGTCAATTCAGTTCAGTACACAGTGGGGAAAAATTGGCACCTGACACTTCATCATGAACCCTTAATCATTGAAAAAGTTCAATACTAGGCCTACTGGTAAATTACATGACCCTTATTGAGCAAGTGCTATTCTGCCTTATTAATAAAATCTCCTGGAAAATGATTTCTTTAAAAGAGTCGAAACCTAAATCCTATACACTGGTCCTTTGTAAATAAAAAAACTTTGATCTAAACAATATTTTTCATTTATTTATGCTACCATTATTATGGACAGAATAAGCATCATAATTTGTTATTTGCTAAATTGATTTGATTTTTTTATGACTGGATATGTTTTTAGTATGTGTTCCCTCTCTGCTCTTGCAGAAAAGAACTTGATTTCTATGACATTCCTCAATATAATAAAGGTTAGAATAATAAGCAAGTTTTTCTTAGGGTAAGAGTGGGTGGATTGATCATGTTTCAACTCTTTTTTGTGTTTCTGTAACATGTAATTGATAAAACTCAGCAACGTGTAGCGATATACGAAGAAAACCTGATAAGGTCAAGGTGATGTGGCACATAAAAGATGTCATTCTGTGGTTCTAGTGGAGCAGTGAACACATGAAACTTTGTAATGTTGCTGGTATGAAATGGTCAGAGAGAAACTGAACACCAGCTGCTAGCTGCACCACTCAAAACTCTGATTAATTTATAAAAAAGGTAGCGAGAGTTCTATAACCACTTTGTGTGCAGATCCAGGAAATCCCCCTATAATCATGTGACCTTTGTTCTGTCATCCAGGAGTGTGTCTGAACTGTGAGGGCAACACCCAGGGATCCAACTGCGATGAGTGTAAGCCTGGTTTTTACCGCAACCCTGGAACTGCCCTGACTGAAGCCTGTGCACCGTGTCCCTGCTCCAACTTCACCTCCAGCGGCACCTGTCACACCGGTCAGTCCCACGCTGCTCACAGCCACACGTCAGGCCATTAGCTCAGTTCTTGATCCTTGTGATTAAGCAGGTTTGTCTTCACTGGCTGGATACACAGCATTAAGTCAGTGCTGATCCTGGGCATTCTGACACTGATAATGTCTTAGAAACGTTTTCCTCTGTCAAACTGTGCCCTAGAAGTGCTTTAAGTATCTCAACGTGACATCAGGGCGTCGACCTTTGGCCAGTTATCTAAGGTAATAAGAGAAATGCAGTCAAAGGGAGACGAGATGAAAAGGAGAGAAGCCAACGATGCACAATTATTTGCAATATTATCAAAATATGGCCGAGTGCATCCAAATCACAGATGCTGCAGTTTGTTTGGTAAAGGTCAAATGTGTGACAAACAGCATTATAATGAAGTACTGTAGTGCTGCAGAGATCCCCTTATCTACAAATGTTGTTTTCTAAATTTAATAAAACATGTTTGTTTGGTACAGACTCCAACAAATGTCACATCATCATGATTTCATAGTTGTAAAAATTACATTTTTGACCTCACCTGAAAATGAGAATCATTGTGTTTCTGTTAGCTTAGAATGAGCTGTTTTTATCTACAAAGGGTGCGGATCCTCTTCTACAGAGGGCTGCCATGTACCACCATGTTTCTACAGTAGCCCAGAACGAACAAACCAAACACTGGTTCTAGATAGGGCCTTTAATGTTTTTTTGTCCCCAACCACTGTAATTTCTCCTGCACGTTTGGAATGGGAGGGTGAGGTGAGGGTGTTGCAAGTGCATCAGTTTTGTAGAAGCCTTACACTCAGAGTCCAGAGAGTTTGTGTCAGTTGTGGTTGGTTAAAACCATTTGATGGTTTTTACGGCATTACCAACTCAATCTCACCATGAACACAGAGCAAAGCTGAAATTTAAATTCACTTCCATTAGTGAACTGAGAGGCCTTTTTACCTTCAAGTACTATTCACATGAATAATTCATGAATCAACACATCTCTAGTGGCTTAACGCTGCAGAAAAAAATCTGCTCTCCAAATGTCTCTAACCAGACAAAAAAACCTGCCAAATTCAGCTATTAGTTCCAGTCTCTATTCATTTACTTGTGGAGAGAGGTGCATTTACATATCTGCCTCAGAATCCACATTGATTCTGTGGTGACTGATTCTGCACACCACTCCCTAATGTGACCAAAATGACTGTGACTTTGACAGGCTGTTGCCTGTTTCCAAAAAGGCATTTACGTACATCTAGGTTGGCTTCGTCTGTTGTGCACCCAACAGCACACTTAATGAACAGCAACTGATGTTCTACAAGGAGTTTTTTAATGGTTCTAAATTTCTCCAAAACAACTGGACCCTCTAAAAAATCTGAATAAAGCAGTTCCACCTTAAAAATCCCTGTTTCTCCCATGCTACTGGGCAGACAAAGGACGTTCCGGAAGGTCTGCGAGCCGAGGGTCTGCGAGCCGAGCTGCTGCTAA